GGCGGGAGACGGCGACGTCAGCTCGGCTCAGCTGTTTGACTTGTAGTTGTGTGCTTCTCGCGACACGCGTCGTACCAACCAACTCGCGACTCGGCGCCCAAATCCGCGGCTCGGCTCGACTCGACTCGGCTCGACTCGGCTCGACTCGTCTCCCTCCAGGCCAAGTCCAGCAGAAGGCCAGAGTGGGCCGCCGCCACCGCCGTTCAGTGGCAGCGCTGCCGCCGCCGAGAGCGCACGGGGACGCCGTCGTCACGCCACGTCACTATGACGAGCTCCGCGGCCAACATCGCCACCTCCACGTCGTCGTCGTCGTCCAGGTGACGTCAGCCGTGACGTCGCTCGCGGTGCACAAGTGACAGCGCCCTGAATGGCTGCCGCACTCTCCCTCGCCCCCCTCTCCGCCCTCGGCAAGCAGGCCGGGGTGGTGGACGCCGGCCGGGGGGGCCTCGGGGTGAACCCCTTCGCCGACGACCTGGACTCGATGGTGCTGGTCAGCGGTGAGTGAGGCTCGGCAGTCGTGGTGTGTTGCATTAAGCATGTGGAGTGGAGGTGGTGAGTGGTGATTTCAGGCTGGGCTGAATAACGTCAAGCACGACCCCTCTTTCTGCAGCAGGCAGCCTTGTTCGCAATTTTAAACATGAAAGTGGGTCGGAAGGACATGTTTCTTGACATCGACACACTTAGACGTATCCTTTTCTATCGTGGGCGCCTGAGTTGTTCACACCGCTGTCCTTCGTCTACCAAGGGGGACACAAGCCTGTCCTCCATTTTCTCGTGTGGGCCAAAACGCCTAGGACGGCTGGATTCCCCCCCCACCCACCCCTTTTCCTTTCCTCTCTTTCTTTTAAAGCGATTGAGGGAATTTCGACATTATTTTTTTCCCTTGACGTGATCGCGGTTGTGAGGTTAGGCTGTCGCGGAGCCCCCCAGACCCAGGTGCCCCCGGCGGCCCGGCGGCGGCGCGGCGCTGCGGTCGGTTTGAATATGCAAAGAGTTGCCGCCATCGCGGGAGGGAGGGAGGAAGAGGGTGTTGCGGTGTCTAGGGCTGTAATGCGTGGGAAAGAGACGAAAAAAGGAAAGCCCCCCTCCCCCGTCGAGGTGGTTGGAGGGGGGGGGGGGGCAAGCCGCCTCGAGTTGCACCAACTCGAGCCGCGCGATTGCTGCCTACGACACTCGCTCTGGCGTGCAAGTGTGAGAGAGATGGTGTCGAATGGGGCTCGCCTGTGTGAGAGAGGAACAGAGGCACTAGGCATGCACCTGCACCTCCCCCTCGTCTGTCACACACCCACACATACTGATGGAGACGGTCTTGTCTGGAAAGGGACTATAACTATTCGCGACACTATTTAGCATTTTTATGGACAAACCACAAGTTTTTAGGCGTGCTTGAAATAATTACTCTTTTTTTTCATTTTTTTTGTTGTATATTTGCTTTTATCCAAAAAGACTAATCACATGTCAAAGGAAAGTCCCACGAAAGGCAGAGGGTTTGATCGTGCTAAACCGTGCACGAACAGCACAAAAATATTTGGATAGTGCGTCTCGGCTCATAGTGCGAGTTTGCCCTTTACGTAGGCGCTGTAACGAATGTCCTTCAAGTTACCTTCTCCTCTTCCCTTAGATATCGTCGGCTCTCACGTGTAATCTCCACTCTGGAATACCTGCCGTTGCATTGATTAGGCGTCGAATGCCTTGTCGCCAGGTCAACTGGCTCAGCTTGCACGGGCGCGTTCAGAAATAGAAATAGGGGCTGCATGAGTGAGAGAGAGAAAGAGAGAGAGAGTGAGAGAGACAGAGAGAGGGGGGGGGGGCATAGCGGCGTGGGTGTGCGCGGGCAGCTCGCGGGTCAACGCCCCGGTGTCAGCAGGGGGTACCTGTTGTCGGGGGAGTAGAATTTGTCTACACCTGACCCCGTAGCATAATTATTTTTGCCACTATTGATGGGTGACGACAAATCCTTATTTCGCGATCCTCCCGCTTCGTCGTGATCGTCATATTTTTTTTTTCATTCCCACCGTAAACCCCTCGCTTCGCCTCTCACCCTCCTTCCGGCCCCTTCTAAATACCCATCTCCTGCTTAAATTACCTAGCCGGCAAGTGCTAAGTGATTGGAATGCCCCCCC